TATAACCTCTTGTAAAATATATTTTCTACATTTATCTTACAATAAATAATTGATTTTTTTTATAAATAATTGTATTTCTTCATTTTTCCTGATGTTCAAGTCTTCTTCTTGATTCCTATAGTGTCCTGGAAGGTCCACCTGTAATTCATGCGAAAAGAACATTAATTTTTCTAATTTTTAATAAACGTTATAAACAATTTCTGACTAATCCACTGAATGCGATGGTTAATTTAATGCGAAATTAACAAATTAAGCTGTTTTATTACGATAAATCATGCAATAAATTCATTTAAGACTTGCAATAATTATAAACAATCATCTAAATTGTTATTTGACAGGAAAAATCAATTATTCGACCTGAAAATAAACCAGAAACTGTATTTTACTGTCTACATATTAGTAATGTTGAAGCAACGATAAATTCTATTAACAATAAAATAATTTTTTTATAATCGTACGGAAGCTACAATTTATGATTAAGGTTTATTTAAAGAACAATTCATAAATGCAAGAGTTTTTTTAACGTACAGTAAATTGTAATTAGTGTTTGCAATTATTAGCAATCTTTTTACAGATAATTTATTTATATCAACAACAATTTTTTTTTACAAACCTTGCTTTTTCGTTGAAAAGAAATGTTTTTCACCGATATACCCAATTACATGCTTTGAATGGTGAGTGATAAATTGATGGTGTTCCTTTCCCCAATCAGGTGTGTACTAATAAGTGTAATGTGCAAATTTGATAATAGCAAATATTAAATTTTCCTTTTAACCTTGATATAATTCAATTTATAAACGTGAAAAGTATTTGTAACTTGGAATGATTTCATTACATTACATTGAAGAATTAATCAAAGTTGTCAATAGATGCAATATGATTAAAAATATTCACAAAGAAACTACAAGAATACATCACTAATAAAGTGTAATTAGAGGAAGTCAATGAGAAAAGGTTGAATTAAACGATAAAACTATAAAATTGTAAAATTGCGAAAGTTGTAACAGTTAAATAATCAAGAAACGATTAATTTCATCATTGTAACCTTCATATGTATCGTTATTAAACAATATCAGATATACGCAGTTAAATGTACTTTCAAGATAAGTACTGTCTGTTATCGATTGTATGTTAACTTTCAAACTAGCATAAATCGAAGCATTGTTGCAATTGGAACACTATCGCGAAAGATCATAAGCACGTTACTGTCAGAGAAAGCGGGTACTCACGACAGTGACACAAGTACCTACTTACGATACATTATATACACAGAGAAGAGCAGAACATTCTAAGCGATTATACGTTTTATGCATTGGTGTGAATTTCCTACCTGCGCGGTGAAAACATGTGTAGCTCGAGGTGCATCAATGTAAAATGGTTTACTATGCCGGATCTCGAATAATTTTCCGATAAAATAATAGCAACTTATCAGTAGACTGGATTCAAATGATTTAATTAGTTCAACTATTTATGTAGCACAATAATATTTGTAATTAAATAAAATGCAAGATTATTATTATGCTAAATTCACTTGAAGGTTTACACTGTACAGGTTATGTATTCTAAATCGATCAA